TAATGTTCCTTAGCTGTTTATGTATAAAATAACATTCACAAAAATATAAATAATTTTTCCGAGACAGTGTGAAATACGGTAGGTTTAACTGTTCCTAAAGTTTTAATGTCTACCGTTACAAAATTTTCAGAGATCTTCACAGAATAAGCACTATGATGCAAATCATAATTTAAGGTAATTAATAAATAGAAATGAAAACAAATTATTGTATTGTTGTCTTCATTAATAATGATGTTTTCTATTATACCGAAAGAAGGATTAGGATACCTAATAAAACACAAGACTTGATTTTGTAAAAAATACCATTAATTTTTAACCATGGCACGCAAAAACTTGAAGATGAAATTTCTGAATTAGATGGAAGGACAACGTCTCCTTTTATTACATTTTGAATTGGTCCATGTTCAAACGTGTCTATTAGTCCTTTTGTGATAAAATTCTATACTATAATTTAAGCTGCATCCGCATACAAAGTGAAAAATGTACATTTTTTCTACATGTAATAAGGGTAGTTAAATATTTTAAATCTTTATGTTTTACTTCGTATCTAATGGTGTTAACATGTCCAATTTTCTTTATTATATTTGGGTAGTGAAGCAAAAAATTAAATTTAGGCTTTAAATTTTCTTTAAATAGTTCTAAACACATTAGGTGATGCTCTTCAATAAGACAAAAAATCAATGGATTCATCATTAAAGATAGACAAAAATGACATTTCGGTTATTTCTAATAAAATTAAGTATATAGTATCCATGTTTTATCATTTTCTGGAACTAAATCTCTAATAATTAAATGAAAATTTAAAACTAAGGAAAGCATGAAGATGACAGTAATATAACCGTTTCTAATTTGTTCATGCATACTTAATGTTTGGNAAACCTCGGCCAATTCCGTCTCCTGCCTGTTCGCTTCCTTGCATTTCTTAACCATGTCCATCAGCTTCGACATCGTCTTGTCGAGTTGTTCCTGTCTTAAGCGGTGCTCGATGATCTCCCTCTTTTCTTTTTCTATCGCCGCCTTTCTCTCCTCCTCCAACCGTCTCTTCTCCAATTCCGCCTGCCTGGCCGCCTCCAGCTCGGCCTCGATCCTCAACTTCTCGATCATCTCGGCCGTCATCTTCACCTTCTTCGGCTTCTTCTTCTTGGGCGGCTGTAACGGGGGAAATAGTTAGTAGGTTCCTTACTCGACGCTGTAGCTACCTTCTTCTTCTTCTGGGGCTTCTCCTCGGCCGTCTCCACGGTCTCCTCGCCTGCGGTTGTCGGGGAAAGGGTGAGTGAGGATATGTACAGGGTGTTCGAGGTTTTAGTGGTCGCTTGTGTAATCTATAGTGTCTGTCAGCATTTTGAATGCTTGCTGAATTAATGTATTTTATGTGAGAAATGTAGAAAATGTACACGAGCTGGCTGTAAAATTTCAAATCGGACGTTTCGAACCTGCTTCGGTGGCCGCCTTCATCCTCGTTATCTCGGCCGTCGTGTCTTCTTCCGGTCGACACGCAGATTGCGGTGGGACTGGGGGAGGTTCTTCCTTGTCTAAGGACTTCTCTTCCGACTTATCCTGTACGGACTTCCTCATACCCTTTTTGTAGTCGAAAACATTAGAAAAAAGTGAAAATCTGATGACGCGTAACTTTGTACCTTCTTGCCTTTAGCTTTCTCTTTCTTTTTCTGCTTGCCTTTGTCTTTTTTGCCTTCTTTCTCCTGGGATTCTTCCTCGGTGCTGCTCGAGGAGTATTCTTCCAGGGATATGTTGGATTTTGATTTGAATATCACCTACGCGGAATCGATTTTTATAAAGAGAAGGAAATATTTTCAAAAAACAGTCGATAGCGATAGATTTCTGTGATAAATTTCCGAGAAACACACATAAATCGTTATACTAACATTGCACCTCGTTAGCCTTGTCTCGGAATCTGTGACCTGCCCTTGTTGCTCTCGGGCTAGGCTCTGAGGGAGCGCTTTCACAGAATCCATATAAGTATATAGGGTGTTTCAGAAAGACCTCCCGTAAATTCAGGGGGTGATAGTACGATAAAAAATAAGAATTTTTCGTCTTATGATCTATATGTCCATCTCCTCTTGTTTTCGAGATACAGAGCGACAAAATAAAATTTTTTAAATACAATTTTTACGAAAATAAGTGACTTTTCTCAAAGTAGGCTTATGTCAAAACTTATTGATGGACGTCTCATAAACAACGCATACATTCCCAGTAATATTTCAAGCTCTAATTAACTTTATATCAAAATTTTAGTGATTGTTAGTGAGTGTACTTAGTAATGACTAATTACAGTCACTAAAATTTTGATATAAAGTTAATTAGATTTTAAAATATTACTGAGAATGTATGCGTTGTTTATGAGACATCCATCAATAAGTTTTGACATAAGCCTACTTTGAGAAAAGTCACTTATTTNTCATACCCTTTTTGTAGTCGAAAACATTAGAAAAAAGTGAAAATCTGATGACGCGTAACTTTTTACCTTCTTGCCTTTAGCTTTCTCTTTCTTTTTCTGCTTGCCTTTGTCTTTTTTGCCTTCTTTCTCCTGGGATTCTTCCTCGGTGCTGCTGGAGGAGTATTCTTCCAGGGATATGTTGGATTTTGATTTGAATATCACCTACGCGGAATCGATTTTTATAAAGAGAAGGAAATATTTTCAAAAAACAGTCGATAGCGATAGATTTCTGTGATAAATTTCCAAGAAACACACATACATCGTTATACTAACATTGCACCTCCTTAGCCTTGTCTCGGAATCTGTGACCTGCCCTTGTTGCTTTCGGACTAGGCTCTGAGGGAGCGCTTTCACAGAATCCATATAAGTATACAGGGTGTTTCAGAAAGACCTCAGGGGATGATGGTACGACAAAAAATAAGAATTTTTCGTCTTATGATCTATATGTCCATCTCCTCTTGTTTTCAAGATACAGAGCGACAAAATAAAATTTTTTAAATACAATTTTTACGAAAATTTCCTAACGGTGCGAAATATTTTTATGAAATTTGGCATTCCGGGATTTTTTGAGGACGCCAAATACGTTGGTCTAATTAGTTTTTGGATATTTCATAATGGGCGCTAGTTACGCTACATTCCTATTATATTTTAGGTTCAAATTTTTTTAAGGTTAGGTTTTTTAGCATTCGGGCTCCAATTTCTAATGTACAACTTTATTTTCAGAATGAGAACTGAGAATGTATGCGTTGTTTATGAGACATCCATCAATAAGTTTTGACATAAGCCTACTTTGAGAAAAGTCACTTATTTTCTACACCGTCATATTGCAACAGTTCAATTAAAAGCCTTTTTTCTCGAAAACCGTCCACTTTAAGAAGTTCTAAGAAGAGCACATTATTTTTAGAAAATAAAATTGTACATTAGAAATTGGAGCCGGAATGGTAAAAAACCTAACCTTAAAAAAATTAGAACATAAAATGTAATAGAAATGTAGCGTAACTAGCGCCCTCTATGAAATATCCAAAAAACAATTAGACCAGCGTATTTGGTGTCCTTAAAAACCGCGGAATACCAAATTTCATAAAAATATTTCACGCCGTTTGGAAATTTTAGTAAAAATTCTATTTAAAAAATTTTATTTTGTCGCTCTGTATCTCGAAAATAAGAGGAGATAAATATATAGTTCGTAGGACAAAAAATTATTATTTTTTGTCGTACTATCACCCCCTGAATTTACGGGAGATCTTTCTGAAACACCCTGTATATTAATATTCCCATGTCGATTTTTTAAATCCCCACTGAACTAAAGTTAATTGTCTCTGCACTTAAAAACTATTGGATATACAGAAAAGCTTAAACTGGCGAATAGGTACAAATTTACCAACTCGTAAAACAATTCAATTCTTGTTCATTTGGATTTGAGGAAATTGAAAACATCGGTAAAAAATCAGCCGTACCTCCATTATTAGAAGTTTAGTGGAAACAGTTTTTGCTCCTTTTTTTTAAATATCGTATACTTTGTTTGATAGCACAGTAGCAACTATTTACTTACTACTACCGGTAGTAAGTTTTCTTTTCAGTTTAATGTTGCCAATATTTAAATATTGCACTACTTTGTCCGTGTAAACTTTTCAGTATTTCTAATAATTCCTGTGCTCCCTGTAGTGATAATTAAATATGGTTCAAACTATACAAGATGTGCCAGTTGTAGATCTTGAGAAGGCCTTTCACATCCCGTTAAAAAATACAGGGTGTTCCATTTGAAAAAAAAACAAAATATTTGCCTTTGAAAATTATAACATTTGTTACAATTTTGTGAACACACTGTATGACATTTATAAACAGCGACCACTTCAGAAGCGTTGACTTACCCCGTATAAGTATAATTACAAGATAATATAAAAATTTAGGTACTCTAATTGGGAACATTTGTTATTAATTAATATGATATAGCCCTTGAATAATATTCACAAATCGACCCTTTTTTGCGTTACTTTGTACGCCAGTGGATCCTACTTAAATCTACACACAAATTATACAGGGTATCCCGATCGACAACAAATAATTTTGCCAACTTTAACGCCATCTAGCGGTTAACGCGGCAACTTTGGATAGAGTTTAGTTAAATCTGCTCATTTTGAACGCAGGCAACTACGATAGCTCCATATACACGGAATACTAGGATACCCTGTATAGCTGCTACGTGTATTAGTTTGTTTGTAGGGGGACTTTGTCGCTCCTTTACCGATCTTATCCTGGCCGAACTTAAGTTTCGAAGCGTTGACCGCCTCTGCTCCATCGGCATCAGCATCGACATCCTCTGTTTATTCTCTTCCTGCCTATGTTCTATGGTCACCGTTTTCGAGAGTTTCTCCTTTCCTGGAGCGAACCGAAAGTTTACAAATTACAGTTTGTATCAAACCGAGCGCCCGCAATCACCGACACCCCTAACGCCGGATATTTTTTTTTTTTGGTAAAGTACATTCGTAGATTTAAGAGAATGACTGAAGCGCATCGACCTGTGTTCAGTTATCTCCAATCGTAGCATTCAGTTGTCAAGGGATTGTTATTCTCTTAAATATACAGGGTGAGTCCAGGAGTATATTCTACACGTCAGAATAATAAGAAAAAACTCAAATGATGTTCATTTGTTTTCAAGATATGACGTTAATTTCAATAAACAATAATCATAGCGTTCTTTGATTAATTGTTCAGCAACGAAGGACGTCTGTAGCTCTCCGTCAAATTATTGTCTCCCGAGTATTCATTCTTACCTTCACTTCATTTTTGAACCAACCCCATAAACAGTAATCTAGTGTTGTGAGGTCTGGAGGTCTTGGAGGCCAACTAATAGGAACCACCGCGGCCAATCCAACGCAACGCCCTGGGGATCTCTCGTTCAAATGTAGCCAGGCCCGGATCCAGAGACTGGTTTTGGGGGTGGCGCAAAGCACTTCTTTCAGAGGAGCTTGACACTAATGAATCCTTCTACTTGCATTAATATCGACTAACTGCCTGTTGTCGTTTGGAGAAATTGAAGATCTTTAAAAAATGTTGTGCTTTGGGGGTGGCGATCGCCACATCGCCACCCCCTCTGGATCCGGGCCTGAATGTAGCTTGACTTTTATTATAGCCCAGTCGGGTTGTAATTTAACCGGGAAAAAATTAGGGACCACAATTTTGTTGTTCTAACCTTTAGGGGGGGGTCAATAGTAGTATAAATTCAGAATCGCGACTGAATTCCACCCCTGCGTCAGCCGCCATCTTGAATTTAAGGAAAAATCGTTTTTGCTCAATATCTCGGCCATTTTCAACTTTACAACAAAAATGGCAACCCTAACTAAACTCAAGGATCAACATTCCACAGGCCTGACGTCTCCGCAAGCGTAGGACCTTAAATATTGGTTATAGAGAAAAGATCAAAGAGATCAAAATTGTAGAAAATAGAATTATTTCCAATTTTGTTTATGTACATTTATGTCGTAAAGTTTAATAACAAACGAGATAATTGAATAATTATACTTTGTCTCTATTTTCCCCCTTAACTTGAAAAATATCGATCGCACGATAAAATTTGCAATGAAATAAGTTGTAGGAAATCGCATTTTCAACAACTTAAGTCCTTACCATTTTTGTTGTAAAGTTGAAACTGGCCGAGATATTGAGCAAAAACAATTCCTTTGAAACCAACTCC